TGTGCTACGCCTGTGCTTACCTTGCTCCCGAAGACCTGGTCCCTCTCGGTAGGGTAACAAGGGAACGTGTTCAGTGCAGATCAGTGAGTAAGCCAAACGAGTATTAGCTATTATTATTCTAAAATGGGGATGGCCATCAGAATTACCAACTATCAGTTTTGAACAATTGAGCAATGAAAATATGAAACCCTCTCTGCCTTGTCCTCACTCTGGCAGAGAGCTCCTCATTCAGGCAGGGTGAAGGACAGGCAGCCGGTATGCAGACCAGTGCCTACAAAAACTCCCTAAGGAGTTCTGATTTGCACACTCCCCTCTGTCCATGTATTCTGAGATATAGTGAGTAAGGAATGAATGAATTTTGATGTTAAAGAATTACTAAGTGTTCATAAAAAACAAAAACAAAAAGCAAACTCACTGCCATTGAGTCGATTCTGACTCAAAATTACCCCCATTGGGTTTCTGAAGCTGTAAATCTTTACGGAAGTAGATTGTCCTATCTGCCTTCCACGGAGCAGCTGGTGGGTTCGAACTGCCAACCTTCTGGTTAGTAGTCAAATGCCTTAGGTGCTGTGTCACCAGAGCTCCTAAGTGTTCATAGGTAAATATAATTACATTAATGCCCACAGACTGATTCAAACTGCAATTGTTTGTAATCTTTTGGAAAGCAATGAGAAATCTTTAAAAAGGAAAATTGATGCAGTAGACTTTAATATAGAAAGCTGTAGAAAAGGGAAAGAAAATAAAGAAAAGACACCCACCTATTAGAAGAGAAAGAACGGAAGTTGTAAGGCTCAGAGGCAGAGTATGTGCTCAAATGGCTGGAATCTGAGGAGCTGTTAAAGGAAGGAAAACCCCACTCAGAACATTGCATGGAAAGCTGGCAAAGCACCCTGCCATATTCTGCAGGCCAAAAAAGATCCCATGTCAAAGGGATAGACATGCGATATGTAACTTTTGACACACCATATTTTTAAATCTTACTTAAAAAAAAAAAAAACGTTATTTGTAATTGTATTTATAACATGAGCTCCTTAATGCAAACAGGTGAATATTTTCTTCTGTATCTTTTTTAGTCAGTAGTCAGATTAGTTTATGCCACAACTGCTCTCTGCTCTGAAATCCACACGAGCATGACGGAGAACATAACAAAGGATGCAGTAAACACCCCGTGGTAGTCTTCCCAGTAATTTCAAACAGGGCCTCCACAAGGATCATATCTACCTGGTTTCCTTCTGGGACTCTGCTTCCTTTTCTTTGGTGGGTAAGAGAGAATCCTCAAAGTCATAGGAGAAGAGGTGGAAGGGGCTGTGTGGCACATAGGGCAGTTTTTCTTTTGTTGGTGATGCCTTTAGGGGAACAGCTGCGGCAGAGTTGGAGGTGGAAGTAGATTGAGAGGATGAGACAGGGCTTGAGGGCAGCAACAGGACAGGCTGAGTGCCCCAGATGGTGGACTCAGGCCCAGAGGACCCACTGTCCAAAGCATTCCCCACGGTAGTGCTATCTGGAAGCTCCTTTCCCTGGGAGACTGCACTTGGGGTAGCTGGGAGGGCTGGCCTGTTGGGAGAGGCATCCACTGCAGTGGGCTTCTGCTCTGAGACAGGGCTGTGCTCGCTGCAAAGAAGAGGTCCACCAGGAGGGAGAGAAAGGAAGGGAAGAAACAGGAAGAAGAGATTTGGGAAAGAGGGGGCAAAAGTTAGGAAAAAGAAATAGACACATAAAAATATTCACTACTGTTATGGCCACTTACTTCAGAATTCAGCTGCGTTCCTTCAACTGCAGCCCATAACCAGAAGCTTTGTTGTGCTAATCCTGGTACCCTGGGTTTGTTGATCTGGGAGGTTAAGACTTGTAGAGTACAAGGAAGCATCTCCCCAGACCAAGTCTGGTCTCTGGGCATATGTTGGTCTTTGTGAGGGAATTTAATGGTTCCCAAAGACTCTTCTGCACACACACACTCCCCTCAGGTTTCTCCCCACTGGTTTGAATCTCCACAATTTGTGCTTCATTTCTGTCTTGGTCAAACAGAGCACCTGGTCTCCTGTTATAAAGCCAAACCTTGAGGAAGAGGCATCCCACAACACCTTAAACTTTAGGCTTATATGCTTTTGTATACATTTAACTGCTTTCAGATCCTTTTGTGAAAGCAGGTATGGATAAAGGGAAAGGAGAAGAAATGCCAGAATGTAATACAAAGAGCAGAAAATGAAAGGCTAGGATGAAGAAGACAAATTTCACCCATTTCATATTTTCCCCAGAACCTACCTCTACCATGAAGCCCTAAACATCCAGATTCCTTTAGGCAGGCCTAATTCGGCCAGTTACAGTCAGAAGACCATTCTATTTTCAAGGCACTAGATTTATACCCCTCAGATATGTTGACATACACCTTTATAACCTGAGAATTTATGTTAAACTCTGTGTTTTTGTTTTTAAAGCAGTCCCTCTCTGAGAGAACTTTGCCTCATAAGTAGAAATTCTCTCAACCATGCCCATTTGGGCATAGATGGGAGCTGCTTTCTTTACTGCTTTATATTCAATGTTCCCCCTGTACACAGGTCAAGGTTGTCCCTATCTCCCTGGGTAGGTGAGAGGACCAAATGAGACCACATTGCAGAGAGCCCAGGCCAGTGCCTGGTACACAGGTAAGCACAAACACAAAGCACAAGTAGAATTAAGGGAGGGTGGGGATCTTCCCTGCCACTTTAGGATTTGCCACAGAGAACAGCTACTGATCAAGGCTAACAAGGTCTTAGTACTGTCAAAGTGAAGGCCTTGTGTGTAACATGCATAAATCTTTATTGCCTAACTTCAGTCTCTGATCAAATGCCCTGGAGGAACAATGTAGTCAGACTCCAGAAAAGATACTTCCAAGGGGAAGATAAACAGAAGATAAACAGGCTGAGTGGCCCAGATGGTGGACTCAGAAGATAAACAGGTAGAAGATAAACATCTACCTGTGCACATAACAATCCTATGCAAAGACGGCACAACTTGAACTGGTTCTTCTGTCTGGTCTGTAGGTGTAGATCCCTGTGGATGTCTGAGCACTTAAGGATTCACGTGGGTGAGGCGGAGCATGTACTTTAAAGTACACATGGAGTGGTACTTGTATATTTATTGAGTCTGTATAATTTCCTGTGGTTAATTATAGACCTAACATGGGATGCCAGCAGGACCCCCTTTCCTCCCAAAGCACTCCTCACCTAATGAATCACCAGCCCCAAGCAGGGCACATCATGATGGGGAAGGGGCTCTACGTAATACTGATCTTTTTGTCCCTCTTGTTCTGATATGTGTGGCTAATTCTCAATGACCAGCTCATTCCTTTTTTCTATTCACACCCGCCCTGCTGGCTTTTTAACATAAATTTCCAAAGGGAGTAAACAATCTTTAGTTTTTCAGTTCAGATACTATTCTAATGCTCCTGGGAACTGTGTAGGTTTCAATGTTCAGTGACTCTGTTTGAGAACTACCATGTGCACTTATGACATGGTAGATGGAAGCATCATCGATACATAATCACATAAACTTTGAGGTTGGCAAGAGAAAAGGATCTTTAATTCATCTGAGGTCCTTTGGACTTTGCTTGTTTGGAGGGAAAAACTAACAGTAAAACTGTTAACTTGAAATGGAAATCAATTAAGTGAAAGAAACCAATTTTAAGATTATTTTTGTATATTAAAAGTAAAATGTTAACAATGTTAACTAACACAAGCACTTTGCATCTTTTCAATTCTGAAGGTATCTTCCCAAAGTGAAGTCTGTATAAAATATAAAAGTTGATCATTAACATTTCCCAAGATAGAAAGAACACACCTTGGTGAAGTGAGCAGAGGCCAACAAACTTCCCAAACTGCCAAAGAGCTACGTTAGTTGTGCTGGATATGAAAATAAGCACTGGGAAATCGTTCTGCTGCATGGAATGAAGAATATTCTCGCACATTTGGATTAAAAAAAGAACTTGAATTGTGAATACAGCTATTACCCATTTCAGTTGATACTGGATTAGCAAAAATAGTAGGAAGAAAGGAATACATGGAATTAGAAACTTCACAGTGCTGAAAGGGCTAACATTTTCTGAGCAAATACAAATACCTCTTTAGTTGCTGTGAATCCGACTGAACTAGAGCACTCAATGAGAGAGGAAACAGTGAGGGGAAAACCCAATTGGGTGATTTTTCAATAAAGTGTGGGTTAGGAAAGCAGTATTTTCATAAAAGTGCAGTTCTCTAATGAAAGCATGCTCAGTTATTTCTACAGAACTAGCCACTCTATGGCTCTGTGCACAGGATAAGTAAAGGTTTACCAGGAGAGGTAGTGAGGAAAGAGTTTACTACAAGGTGGCTGCAAACTATTAATTAATGAAGAGGATCCTGAGGAATTTAGTGTCAGGCTGGGAGGGCTTGACCCTCGGTACCTGTCCTTGCCCTGAGAGGGAGCAGGGTCCTCTCTCTCTTCCTCTGAATTGGGCTCTGTAACTGGCTGCTCCTCTTCCTCTTCCTCCTCCTCAACCCTGAGATGAGTCCAGAAAAAGAGAAATGCACATAGAGACAAGATGGAAAAGTGAGATGAGCATTACAGACAAACAGAAAGATGAAGAAAAATAAATACATCTGGCTGAAGTGAATAAAGCACACAGAATCTGTTAGGAGAGAGAAGACAGGTCTCAGATGGGGAACTTTACTATGTGGAGTAGAGAAGTAATAACCCAGCACAGGCCAAATTTCTTTGTCAAGATGACTGGATGCATAGCCCTGCTGCCTTCCTCCCCCAAGTTTTTGGCCTTGGACAGGCCTCCTGTGTGGCTTTCCTCTTCCATACAGAATTATCCACTTAATGTTGTTGGTAATGACTAGCTCCTGCAGCAGCTGAAGTCCTCATATCTTTGCCAAATCCCTTTTAGTGAAAAATCATTGTGAGTCAGGCCAATATGGCACTGACTAATCTCCATGTTAAGCATAGGGCTTTTGCCTGTCACTTCCTCATTCTCATTAAATGTGGCTCAGGAGGGTTGACCACACCACTTCAAGGGTGGATAAATGGTCCAGGCAAAGTCAATCTGTTCCACCTCTTGGATTTCTCCTGGCACCCTGAGAGATGACTAGCTGTAAGGACATTCCAAGTGTCAAGTTGCCTATGGCTTCCAGTAGAGGAAAGCTTTATGTGAAAGAGGCCCATCTAAAGTCTTACAATTAATATGTGAATTTAGAAAAGTTGTTGGATACAAGATAAATATGCAAAAGCACTTTGAAAAGGCTTCACACATAGTCAGCAAATCAGTTTATTTTGGCTATTAGCTATCAAAATCATCTTTGTCATTACTGTCTTTAGGGTCATTTGAGGAAAACTGTCTCCAAAATTCCCAAATAGACACTCAGAACTCTGATTACCTAAGGAAGAAGGCCCAGTAGTCTGTAAAGCATTCCCCACCACAGACAGACAGCAATACTTCCTCTTTGATAACATTCACCTATCTAAGCTCTGCCTTTTGTTTTTTTGGTCTCTCTCTTCTATGCAGCTGTCCCACAGATGTTTGAAGAGAGCTGTCCTAACCCACATCTGGAGCTATCTCCTCTTTGGGCTGGGCAACCTTAGATGCTACAATAAATCATCACATGGCTTGTGTGTGTCAGAACTTTGCTATCACAAGTGGCAGGACAGGGTCAAGGGCAGGGAAGCAAAGTGATTCACTTAGAAGCAGTAGCTGGAGGGCTCAGTTCCAGGAGGCCCTGTGGTCAGAGCCCTATTCTTTCCCTGAACACAAAGGGGTGGAGAAGGAAACATCTTCTCATACAGCACAGGACAGTCTACACTTGATTTTATGCGGAGTTTCAGGCTGTGATAAAATCAGTCAAATACAGTGATTTTTTTTTTTTTTTTTAATGCTGATAGTGTTATAAGATTGAAGGTTTAATTCAGACAACTTTGCTTTTTCCCAAGCTGGATTTCCTCTTAAAGTGTACTTAAATTTATATTTATGCTAAGGGATTCTGAGTATTTAGCCTTTGGCTTTCAAATACATCTAAGTGGTCTGACTTGCTCTTGGTTTGTGTGTTTTCAATTGATCAATAGTTACTCAACAGCATGGGCCTGTTCTGAACCCATCAGGTATTTGCCTTTTCACCACCAACAGTCTGAGATTTCAGGCCACCCCTTTTCATGTTGTGAAAGCAACCCAGAGGACTGCAGCCTGATCAATTTTTCAGGGCACGATTTTCATAAAAGCCAATTTGATTTTCCCAAGTTTGGGTTTCAGGCCAATGTCATGTTTCAAACAAAAATTAAATTGAATGTTGCTGAGTTGTTTCAAAAACATGAGAAGTTCATTTAAAACAAAGTTAAAAGTATTTCTAAGATGAAAGCAATCAGGACAAGAAGTCAACAAAGAGGGAGAAGACATTTACAATACAGTGAATGGACATAAACTCATATCAAGACAATATAACAATTGTTGTTATGTGCTGTCGAGTCAGACTCGACTCATAGCAACCCCTCCTTGGGTTTCTGAAACAGTATCACTATGGAAGTAGATTGCCCAACCTTCCTTCCGAGGAGTGGCTGGCAGGGGGGTAGGGAGCTCTGGTGGCATGGTGCCTAAGGCATGTGACTGCTAACCAGAAGGCTGGTGGTTCAAACCCACCAAGCACTCCTCAGAAGGAAGACTGGGCAATCTACTTCCATAGTGATACTGTCTCAGAAACCCAAGGAGTGTCTCTATGAGTCTAATCCAACTTGATGGCAGTGAGTTTTTTCCTAGGAGCTCTGGTAGCGTAGTGCCTAAGGCACTTGACTGCTAACCAGAAGGCTGGCGGTTCAAACTCACCAGCCGCTCCTTGGAAGGAAG